CGATGCAGAAATTTTTCTCAACAGCACCCCAAATGCCTTTTTGGCTATAGGCCTATTCGGAAGTAAAAGATTCTTTGTCTAAAACCTCAGTTTTATATAGCTTTTTCCATGGTATCACAAGAGGGTTACTTTTCTTTGTGCTAAAGTGGGCTGCGGTATACAAGGCCGTCACTCTAGCATAACTTATTATACAGATGATTTTTGTGATTAAATATGGTGCCTTTGGGAAGTAAAAGCTTTTTAAACTCTAGAGAAACTAGTAATTAGCTCTACATATTTTTCTGTACGGTAGATCGAAAGCATCGAAAGCCTCAGATTTGAACCCACTGAAACCACCTATTAAGAACTAGTTGAGATGATGTTAGCCAACAGACTGTGAAAGACTTCCGGCTGAAATTGTTTTCCAGTAATCAGGAAGTGATATATATGAAGCTTAATATGTAAAGTTCTAAATTAATTTAAGCGAGGAGTGAGCACATAATATACGTTAATTACGGGTAATAATAAGTATTTACAGAAGGTTAAAATTCTTTAAGAGTTTACTCTATGTCCGCGTATGAACAAAGAAATTATGTGTGGGGTGTGATACACTTCGTAAATAACATATAGAGAGCAAGGGATTAGAGAAACCTATGGGAAAGACCTTAGAGAAGATCAGTGGGAAGTTCTCTCCTGAGCTTATTTTATTGTAACAAAATAAAATGGGCTTCAAATCGAAAATTTTTTCCGTTTTAGTATTTATTCCAGTTCAATTAATAAACAACATGTCACTCAGGTTCCAACTGATATATCAGTTTTATGCAATTTTCGGTTCACAGTTCAGTTTCGGTTAGAAGCTTTGATGTATAAAATATATATTTTATTTTTTTTTTGTGTAAAATCTATGTATAAGTTAGTATCGATTCCAAGTCCTGATATATAGCATGCCGATCTATATTTTCTTGTAAGTGCTATGTGAATTAGTCTCGATTCGAAGCCCTAATAGATATTATAACATATATATACAAATTTTTTCTTATGAAACCCATATAAATTGAAGAGTACTATAATTATCATCCATTCACTTAAATTTTTTAATTTAATTATCTCATTTAATTCTTTCGTAGGTGAAGACTGATTGTTTTTCAAAGTAAATACTTGTAAATTGTTTACATATTTCAACCTTAAGGCAACTTTACACAATCTCTCGATTTGGCGAATCGGGCATGGCGCCCACTTCCTTCAACTTAATTGGAAGCGAGAAATCGGACCATTTAGCAAAAATTCGCATAATTTCATGCCTTTTTCTGGTTTTACTGCGAATGCAACGCCCAAAATCGCGTAATTAATTGTGACGTGCAGGAGTTGCCCAAATGCCCAAATTCACAGGCATGTGGCATGTTGCATGTTGCATGTGCAATTCCTCCAAATGTATCTCAAATGAATTAAGAAATTTGCAAAACAACGAAAATAATTCAAGTAACAATCATAAAGTGTACAGCTGTGCACTTCTTGAGGAAAAACTGCCATTGCCATCGCTGCCTTTGGTAATTTTTCACATTTTTATATCTCGAACTGCAAATGTTGCGTGAATTTTGTGGTTCTAGAGAGCGAAAATCTTGCCTTTAATGATTTTTTACAAAAACATAAAATAAAAGCAATAAGTTGGAATTTCAATACGCAATTGTTTATAAATAAAATTGTTTAACTCAAAGATCTGAATTAGATTTGAATTATATGCACAATTAAACAAATATTTTGCAGGAATTTTTGAAATAATTTCCACGCCATAAACTAATTTTTTTTGTAAAAGACTGCATTTTTAGAAAATGCAATAAATTAATTTGAGTATTAATAAAATAGAAGATAATCACAAAAAATTAAAAAAAAACGCGGTCTCGATGGGAGACGCGTTTTATTTTTCAATTCTATATCCTCGGGTATACATCCATGAATAGCTCTAAATTACTTTCATATAACTGTTATATATTATTGACCTCATTTGAGTTAAAAAACAAAGTAACAATATTAAATTATTATTAAAAAAATTCAAAAGATCAGCATCCATCCACATTCTCTTATAAGAAAATACTAGATGCTCAATAAGTTTGTGAAACGGTAACTAAAATAAGGACTTCTAGTTGTGAGAATATTCTTTTCCAATAGCTATAGCCTCTAATAATTTTGCGCAGAATAATTTTTTGGGCTATAAAAAGAAGGTCCAGATGTCTAGAAGTCAGAGGTAGTTAAATATTAGGAAGAGGTAGCTATTCCAATGTCTTATGCCATGTTTCATAATTATTAAATCTTATAATTTAAATATTTGTTTTTTAGTTAGACATTACATATAAAAACTAAAAGTATCTATTTTAATTGACACAATATATATTTATACCTAAGAGTTGGTTGTAGTGGGTAAATGTCCGATTCAGGCCTATCAATATTTTCTACCTAACGCAAAAAATACTAATAAACTAACTAATATGATTAAAAATTAAATGTTATTAATTAGAAAAAGAAATCCCACTTTAATTAAATAATTTTAACATTTTAAGCTTTGTAAGCAGGTATATGGTCTTTATAAAAACATACCTTCCATAGAACTTCTTTCTTTTCTCCAAATTTTTCACATTCACTTTAGTCGAGAATGTTATAATAACAAATTGAGTCTTAATTAATTAAATATTTATATTAATATAGATATTTATTAATCTAACTTAGTATAGTTTAAATTATAAATAATAAAAA